CAGCGCTGCGCGCGGCGCGCGCGTCTCCGGCTGCGCCGCGTCTGCAACGCCCGCCTTTTTGGCTGGCGAGCGCCGCTTCGCGAAAGTCAAGTTCTCCTGCGTCGGCACGCACGGAAACACGCTCCACGGGTGCGGGCCTTCCCGCTGGTAGACGTACTTGTTGCCGAAGCGCTCCTCCATGCTCTGCGGCGTCGCCGTCGCGACCGCCGGCAGCTTCTTCTGCGTCAGCGCGAGCGCCAGCTCCTGCACGCGCTTGAACAAGTCGAAAGCGCTCTGCAGCTCTTCGAGTAGCGCCTTCGCGCGCTCTTCCGCGTCCGCGCCCGCGTCCGCGAAGCCGTCGATCAGCTGCACCGCTTCGACGTAGACGCGCTGCGCGGCGCTCAGCGCGGGCACGAGTTCCGCGAAGTGCGCGTCGATCGCTTTGTAGTCCGCGTCGACCTCCGCGCGGTACGTCGCGAGCTGCGCGAGCTGCGCCCGGTACTGCGCGAGCAGCGTCTCGAAGTCCGCGATGAGCGTGTCGATGTTGCGGTACCGCTGCTCGCGGTCCGCGCCGAGCTCTGCGCCGATCTTCAGCTGCTCTACCGCGCACAGCGCCGCGCGGAACTTCAAGTCGCTGCGGTACGCGGCGGCCGCGCGGTTCTGGAACCGCTGCCGCAGCGCCTCCAGCAGCGCGACCTGTTTCTCGCAGACAAACAACGCGTAGACCGCGTCTGCCAGCAGCCGCAGGCTCACGGCCAGCCGTTGCGGCTGGTTGTGCCGCGCGAGCTCCTTGAACTTCGTCGGAAACACGCGGCCCTCCGCGAAAAACTTGCGCATCTCTTCGCGGCTGTTCAGCTTCGCCGCGACGCCGTAGAAGTTGCGGTCGACGGTGCTGTGCCGCTCCAGCACGCGCTGCGCGCGCACGAACTCTTCGCTACTCTCAAAACGCAGGTCCAGCTCGAGTGCCTCCGCTTTCTGCCACTCGGCGGCACACTGCTCGATCACGCTGTTCGACTTTCCGCGGCTGTGTTCTGTCATCTTGAAGCTGCGCAGCTCTTCTCTCGCTATGTCGTCGCCGCTCACGCCAGCTAATATCCGTCGCAAACAAACTCCGGATCTCGTAGATTAAACAGGTGCCCGCACACCCGCCGCGAAAGCGCGTGCCAGCGTATTTACGCGGCGCGCAGCGCGAACGGGTCGAGCTTCGCCAACACGAGTTTGCGGTGCGGCAGCGCCACGTAGCCGCGCAGCAGCTTGAGCTCCGTCATTTTGAAGAGCAGCCGCGCCAGCTCGACCTCGTCCAGCGCCGGCGCGCGCAGCGCGAGCCGGCAGCCGCCGAGCAGCTGCGCCATGCCGAGCACGCTCGGCGCGCCGGCCGCGCGGTGCGCGCGGCGGAGCACGGCGCGCAGCGCCGCGAGCCGCAGCACGAACAGCAAATTCGTCACGCCATCTGCGGCGAACTGCTTCGCGTAACGCCGCAGCGCGGCGTCGAAGACACCCACGTCGCCCGTCGCGCATGCGTAGACCACCGGCATGTAGCGCGCCAGTCCGTGCGCGCGCAGCAGCTCCGCGCTGCAGCCGCGGTTGCGCAGCAGCTGCAGCACGGTGAGCCGCGCGAGCACGGCTGCGCGCATCGCGTCGTTGCCCGCGCAGCAATAGCGCCGCGCGCGCTCGAGATGTACCGCAGCCTTCTCGCGGTCGCCCGCGCGCAGGAAGAAGCAGCCCGAGTAGTACTCGAACTCCGCCGCGATGAAGCGGTAGGTCGAGCTCGGCAGCGTCTCCGCGACCGTCAGCTTCTCGATCAGAATGTGCGCCATCGAGAAGTTCTCGAGCGTGTACGCGATCTTCACGCTGCAGGCGACCAGCACGATGTAGCAGAACACGTACTCTTCTTGCTCCGGCACGCGGAAGCGGCCGATGTGCGGCCTCAGACAGTTCAGTAAGCTCTGCAGCGCGTCCGAGCGCGCCGCCTTGCACAGCGCGCAGCGCTCGACGAGGTCGAACGCGTGCGAGACCAGCTGGTAGACAATTACCGCGCACGCCGCGGGCAACTGCTGCTCCGCGAGCTGCGCGACCAGCGGCTCGACCACGCGCGTCGCGCAGCCCACCGCGTCGCGCACCAATGCCGCGAGCGCGTCCTCCGCGAGCGGAGCGCGCGCCGCGAGCTGCTGCCACGCCTGCAGAAACGCGAAAAACGGCAGCAAAACCGGCGCCAGCGCCACGCCGCCCGCGCGCGCGACCGCCGCGCTCAGCGCCGCGGCGCTAGCAGCGCACAATTCCGCGCCCAGCCCCTCGTCAAGGCGCTCGTTATGGCACTCGTTATGACGCTCGTTATGACGCTCGTTATGACGCTCGTTATGACGCTCGTTATGACGCCCGTCGAGGCGTTCGTCGAAGCGTTCGTCGAGGCGTTCGTCAACAGCCGCCGCGGCGCGTCCCGCGCCGAAGCGCAGCGCGCCGTCGACGGCGAAGAGCGTCGAGAGCCGGGCCACTGCGTCGGCGCGCGCCGCACTTACCGTCGCCTGCCTGCGCGCTGACGACCACCGCGCGCGTCCACGCCTCCAAACTTCTCACTGCGTCTGCTCTCGCGGGGCGTGCCGCTCTTTTTTCCCTCGACGCTCGGACTGGCAGAAAGTGACCACGACCTTCCTATTATCGATTATTACGTTTTGCATAGATTTATACGCATTTTCGCAGTCCGCCGTAGACTCGAACTCGACAAACGCGTACTTCAGACTCTCGCCCGTTTTCCAGTCGTAAATAACCTCGACGTGCTTCACCGCGCCGAACCGCGAAAACAGCACGCGCAGATCTTTCGCCTGCGTGACGCCGTTCAGCTTGCACACGAACAGCACGTTCTCGCGCGGGCGGCTCTCCGCGCTGTGCACGTCGCCGAGCAGCTGCAGCGCACGCTTGCGCGTACGCGCTTGCGCCTGCGCGATCTGCTGCAAGTAGAACAGCTCGCGCTTCGCGGTCAGCGCCGCGCCGAGCTCCACGCCAAGCACGAAGCAAGCCTCGCGCGGCGCGAAGTTCTCGTCCACCGCGCAGGCGTTCAGCCGCGCGACGACTGCGTCCGCGTCGACCAGCGTGCCGAGCACCGCGCGCTGGGCGCGCAGCCGCTTGTACGCACGCGACTTGCTCAGCGTCACGAAGAAGCGGCTGCCGTGCGCGCCGGCCACGCCCAGCGAGCCCAGCACGAACGCGCCTACGGGCCACGCCAGCGCGCCGGGGGGCGCGCGCAGGTGCGGCCCGCGCCGCGAGCTCTCCGCGATGCGCGACTCGCTGACCAGGGCGCCGCGCTCCACGACCGCCGCGTGCGTCGCGCCCGGCACGTCGAACTCGCGCGCAGAACGGTGCAGCCCCGCGCACGCCACGTAGCCGGGCTCCAGCTCGAAAAAGCGCGAGCCGTCAAAGAAGCCCGCCGCCGCTAGCTTCACGAAGTTGAAGCAGAGCTCCGGGCTCGCGTCCAACGCCAACTTCACGCCGAGCGGCCCGAAGCTCGTCTTGATGCACAAGTCCATGCGCGCCGTTTGCCGAAATTCCGTTCCCAAATTACTTTAGGAATTGCTTGAATTTTTCGCGCAGCGACTTGTCGTCGAGCGGCGCCACGTGCCGCCGAATCAAGTCGCTGATCTTCTGCCGCGGCGCGCTGCACCGCTGCGCCTCCGGCTGCAGCGTCTCCGCGCCGCCCACCGCGACTTCCGCGTTGCCCAGCGGCGCGGGCACGCAGCGCTCTGGCGCGCCACTCAGCGCACCCGCGCCGAGCGGCACCGCCTCATCGCCGTAGCAGACCGAGACATTCGTCCGGTCTGGCGCGCCGACCTGCACGCAGAACCGCGGCGACGCGGGCGCGTCCTCGCGGCCGCGGTGCCGCGCAGCACAGCAGCAACTCGCCGCGCCGCCGCAACAGCGTGCCTCGCGCTGAGCGCTACGCGCTTCTCCCTGCGCCGCGCCCGCCGCGGCTGTCGCTGCGAGCCGCGCCTCGAGCTCCGCGATGCGGTCCAACAGCACCTTCTTTTCGCGCAGCCACTGCGCCTCTTCGGCGTCGAGCGCGAGTGCTTCGGCCTCCAACTCGCTCGCCGCCTCGAGCAACGCGACCTCCTTCTGCTCGAGCTCCGCCGCGCGCGCGTGCAGCTTCTCGTGCAGCTCCTCCAGCAGCAGCTCCTGGTCGGCGCGCCACTCCGACCAGCGCAGCTGTT